TTTATCTGATCGAGCCTACAATAGATATGCTGTTTTCTCTAGTAATCCTTCATAGACTTTTGCTGATCATGAATAAAATCATGACTAAATTTTTAAAGGATATTTTGATAGATAAGGGATGGGATAAGGGAAGAAAAGATCTTTTGGAGTGTTTTAAGAGAAAGTGATACATTACTAAAATTCTTTGCACTTGTTATGAAGGGTCATTTTTATATCTTTTCTTTTTCTTCATGATATTCTCCTTTTTTACTTCTATTTTTTTCTATTGTCTTTTTCTTTTCTTCACCTTTTCTTGTTTGTAGTTTTTATCCTTGTAATTGTAATTTTTGATAAAATTGCAAAAAAAAAAAATTGACATAGATATAAATATGTTTATCTAATAATCGTGAAGAACCTATTTTCCCAAGACAAGCTGCATTTGTTGCACAAGCTGCATTGGGTGCCAGTTTGCTTCCCAGTCCAATTCAAAGTGTTGATTCTGACCTTTAGAGCCCCACGTATCCTCAGTTTAGCTTACCTAGGGAGAAGTCCAACTGGCAGTGTGTCCTCCCATATGGTACCCCACTCTCCTGACCTGTCAGAAAGGTGTAAAAATGTGGCTCTGTGGCCTAACATGGGGCTCACAGAAGCCAGGGGTATGATTTAGCACCCTAAAAGTTCCCCTCCCTCCTTTTAATTGACTTTTAAGGATTTTTCAAAATGGCCATCAGACCATTAATATTTCGTATATTATTCTTAACACGCTCTGATGCTAAGGAATTCTACTCCCCCGCCCCACCTGCAAAGAAATCTGTTCCAAATGCAAAACGCAAGCAGAGGAGAGGAGTTTCAGTTTTAGTTTCATAGCACCAAGCAGCTTTAGCCATGCCCAGGCTCCTTGCTGTCTCCTTCTTGCTCACACAGCAAATGCTGCTTGAGTTTCCAAACAGCCCTCAACTCTCTCAACGCACTGACAGGACGCTAGCCAGAGGAATATCATTGAATGCTGGTAGGCAGAGGCAGAATTCCCTTCCCCTCTTATTTTCCTCCCCCAAAACTAAGCCCGATCACATAGCTTCTTAGTGAAGCATGGGTATCCAGCTAGCGTTTTAATATATTTGTCTTCTACATTGACCAGAGTCCCTCTGTGAGGGAGATGAGTGATTTCAACACTTTTGATAAATGAAAAATAAACAAAAATAACATTATTAAAACAAACAACTTTTAATAAAATAATGATATCAATAACTATCATTTAAAGTTAATGATAAAAACACTGTCCAAAGTAATTGTGTGCCTGTTTTATTTACCCATCAACTGTCTTCCTAGTAATTGTTATGGAGCTTCTTATACAGATTTTATACCTGTCACCTGGTATAAAGTACATGACATCACCTGGTACACAGGTGATCACCTGGTATACATGACATACAGAATTAAACTAATGGCTTACCTAAGACCTGCACTATCAATGGTCAGTTCAGATGTTAATCTTTCTGAATTAGAGTTTAAGATTACAATTTATTCTATGTGGATTATCAACATGGTTCACTATGTTGGCTCTTCCTGATCTTTAAGTGCTGCCATCTTTTTTTAAAAAATCATTTATTTTGTTCTACAGGTTTTTGCTGACCATCAGGAATCTCTTAAATGCATTTGACCAATCAGGGCATTTTATAGGGTTAACTACTTTATCCATGTCTTCTTGGATGCTAATCTCAAAGAACAATTTGCAGATGGTGTCTTACGTGTACTAATTTAAATGAAAATGTCTATCTGATCTGGCTAAATTGAGAAATATGCAGTGTCAGTGATAGTATTGTTAGCTAGTTGTTTTTAAGTATACCATTTTGGTGCAGGAAATGCTTCTGTGGACTTGCAGGGTACAAAATTTATTTGGAATGGAAAGCGTAGATAATATTAGCCAAGGTAATGGAGAAAGAAAATAATCTGGGTGCAGCCAAAATAATTTATTGAAAGTTTGACAGATTCTATTAGAAGGTTGACCGAGTAAAGCATACTGGACAATAAAAAACTGCAAGTTTTACTATTCATGGTTGAAATGCTGGTATTACATTTAAAAAATATTTTTGAAATTCTGAGTCTTGTTATTGATCATTTATTTTGCTTATTGTGAATTTCCTTGAATGTAGTTTCCTTTGGGGAACACTTGCATTTATACTAAAATCTAATCTGAGTTGGGACTTTTCATTTCTCTATGGAGAAAGGTTATGTAATTATGATTTTAAAAATACAAAATCAACATTAAAAAAGACTTATTAAAGAAGCATAACCTAATTTTTCTTATTATTTCCATTCTTTAAAAAAGCAAACTTTTTGAATAGAGGAGGTCTCCTTGGCAACCACTATTCAAGCTAATTCTCCAGTGATATCATAATTGTATATGTAGCAATATTCTGTTACTATGGAAACAAATGTGATAAAACATCTGTATTTGTAGAACAATCTATCAAGAGGGAAAACAGCTGAAAAGTATGCATTTTTCCTTTTTTCTAATGCTTTTGATGTCATGAAAAATGAATATTCTTGATCATCAAGTAAAAACAGTTTATTCCTGATGAAGATTTCCTATTAGAACACACATTTCAGAACCAAATATTTAGAGAAAATAAGTTGACTTATGTGTTTGTATAACATAACATAATCTCTGGAAAATGATCTCCGATTTTCAACTATTACAAAGAGACATACTGAAATCTAGTATTAGTTCTCTTGGATTCACATTTTCTTCAGAAATTTAGTTCCTGGCAGTTCTTCCTTTATACTATAGCTATGGTTCATCCGAAATCTCATTTTGATCCTGAATTGTAGGGTAAGAATAAGATGGAGATGAAGAAGAAGTTTTTCTCATTTTTTTGCCTGTTCAAAGTCTGGATCTTCCTACAGCTTGTTCCTAATACTTTTTTAATATTTCAATTTACAAGGAATTTGACTTAAACTATCAATGCTAGAATACTGTTTGGAGGATAGGCCAGTGCAATACTGGTGGCAATGGGAGGGAGGCAGACCTCTTAAAAACAGTATATATAGTCTTTGCTTGGCAACCATTCATTCAACAACTGCAAAATTACGCTCAATGAGGAGAATTATGATCAGACCTTGAAGTGGTTGCAGTGTTCCACAGTCACAAGATAGCAATTCAGGCACTTGGGAACCATTGTGCAATTGCAATGGTCACAGCATCCCACAGTCATATGATCACCAACCTTCACTGATGGCTTTTGACAAGCAAAGTCAATGGAGAAGCTAGCAATAATGTAACATAATGTTTAAGGATCACATCTGGAACTGTTGTTGTAAATTGGCACGGTTACAATTATTTGATTTATGACAGTGTTGCTTCATGATGGAGTTGTCAGTCCCAATTAAAATTGTTAACTTATATTTGTGAAGCTGATGGAATGCAAACTTGAGAAGAAATGTAAATTTCTTTGTTTGCAAAATTTCCAACGTTAAAGATGTTCTGCTCTGAAATGTTTTTCACAAATACATTTTAGAGCCAGGGTGGCACAGTGATTAGAATGAAGTATGTAGGAGGCAAGCATTTTGGGTATGTATTTCATATATGCAAATGCTAAATTTTTATGTTAGAGTCATAACAAAATTACATACTATATGTCTTTTGTTTAGCATTGAGACAATAAACGAAATGTTAAGTTCTTTTCAAATAAGGGGTAGCTCTTGTTTGGTTAATCTTACAGTAGCCATAAATCCATCTTTGTAGAGTGTGCATCTCATGATGTTGGTTGCCAGCTATGTTTCAGAAACCATATATTTTCAACCAAATGACTTGTGCTAGCCATGACTTGCAGATAAGGTCACGGGACCAATAAAAGTGTGAACTGTACTTGATATAGTTTTCTCTATGACTGCTACACATTGTTATTGTGCAGTAGCTTGCCCATACTTGTCAATCCCACTCTTCCCTGACAGTATTTCTAAAATGATTTGTGTCACTGTGTAACCAATATTTTTTATCTAAAATCTGCTTGAACAGAAGATTGTATTAGTTGGTTTATATCGGAAACATATCCATATCTCCAGATTGGTGTATTTATCCACCAAAATTTACTTACATGAGTCAAAGTGTTTTGTTTCACTTGGACCAAAAATTGGAGATCTACTATAATACTATGTTTACAAACTGCAAACTGATCTTTATTGGTCTGTCTATCTCTTTCTCTCCCTCCCCCCCCCCCCCCCCCCCCCCCCCCCCCGGTGTGTGTGTGTGGACAGAGAAATGAGAAATGTTGCCACACTTTCAAGATTTTCTTATTAAAGCCTGTATTAATAGAATTTTGTATTATTTGCTTGTGACTTCAATTTCCTGACCTGGCCTCCCTTGAAGGGATCACATATATTTATATATTGTTTGTTCCACATATATCCATAAGACTGATTAAAAGCACTGCTGACTATTCAACTAAAACACGCCTATTTTGTCTTCATGAATACTCTTTAAAATCTCGGTTCTAAAAGAACACAGGAGTGCAAGTTATGTAGCACTGACTGGTCAAACTAATGTTAGCAAAAAAAAACTCGTTGGTTTGCAAAATTTAAAAATGAATGAAAATAATAAGCGTTTTTGATAAATATGCAAAAATGATGTTAAATCTATTTGCCCTAGAAGCCAACTGATTTTCATAAGTACTACCACTTTAACAAAATCCTGAGAACATTTTTGAGCACTTTTTATTGTTAACTTTAAATAAAAATTCCATTTATAAACTAGTGAGTTACTCTCTGTTAATATTTACTTTCTGTGTTACTCGTCATGCTTCAAAGGAATGACATGTTAGAGAGATAACTGCCACAAAACATACATATTCTAAAATGCGTTGATTTGTTGTTAAAGACCCTGAAATAATTTGTAGTCATCCAAACATGATGCAGGGCGTTGATTGCTTTACAGCAGCAGGTGTGTGGGGTTGTTAAGTCTGTGAATACATAATTCAACGATCATTAATTATTTGTGTTTGTCTCTTAATGTAATATTTCAGGCACGGAGGAAAGAGGTTTTCATCCAGGAACGGTATGGCAGATTTAATCTTAGTGACCCATTTTTGGCTCTGCAGCGAGATTATGAAGCAGGAGTTGGTGCCAAAGAGAAGAAGTCTATCTGTACCAACCCGCTCTCAATTTTGGAAGCTGTTATGGCGCATTGCAGAAAAATGCAAGAGAGGATGGCAGCACAGTTGGTTACTGCAGAAAACAGGCAAAAGAAGGTATCCTTCCTGTTATTTTCTTTTCTAAATGCTTACTAGGAAAATAAGGATTTTTCTTTTTTAACTTATATCAAAATAGACTTCTCTTTTAGCGGTATTTAATGTATTTTATTATTGATAATGAAATGCTAATGGGAGAAAATAAATGGTTGGAAGAGACTTCGGAGGCTTTCTAATCCAAACCCCTGTTCAACCTATATATTCTAGACAAATGGCTGTCTAGTCTCTTGTTGAAAAACTCCAGTAATGGATATATTGCCTTTCCTCCCAGCACTTCAAGGCACCACAGACGTTTCCATTCTCAAATTCCATCCTCAATGGTTTCCCTGAGGAGAATGACTGGCCCAAAAACTCTACAGTACAGGGCAGACTTGAGTAGCTCCAATTCTAATCCATAACCCTAACTCCACACTTTACTTTAACTTGAACTGCCTTTGGCAAGAAGAATTGTTTCTTCTACTCTTTGTGGATAGGCAGAATACACATAAAACTTTACAGATAGCCCTTGAGTTATGACACAATTGGGACCGGAATTTTAATTTTTAATTTACAGTTAGGAAGATAATTCTACTGAGATAGAGAACTACTATCATTCACAATTATAGATGGCACATTACAGGTAGTCCTTGACTTACAACCACAATTGAAGCCAACATTTATGTTGCTGAGGCGATTTTAAGAGAATTTTGCCTTGGTTAACAACCTTTCTTGCCACAGTTGTTAAGTGAATCACTGCTGTTGTTAAGTTAGAAACATGGTTCTTAAGTAAAATCTGGCTTCTCCTTTGATTTTGCTTGTCAAAAGATTGCAAAATGTGATCACATGACCCTCGGAAACTTATAATTGTCATAAATATGAGTCAGTTGCCAAGCAGCCAGATTCTAATCATGTGACCCATGGAGATGCTGCAATGTTCGTAAACATTGAAAAACAGTCGTAAGTCACTTTTTTCAGCGCAGTTGTAACTTACGACTAAATGCATTGTTGTAAGTCAAGGATTAGCTGTAGTGTATCTTTTCAAGATTTTTCAAATATAATTTTATTGTACAATTCAGCATCCTACTTAGTAGGTCATACCAAATATATTTCATGCGAAAGACAAGGAATATCCTTTTTGTGAATATACAGGTAGTATTTGCTTACTGAATACTTTGTTAAGCGACTGTTTGATGTCAGAGTGGTTGAAAAAAAAACTCTTTGCGACATTCCTTATGACCCTTGCAGCATTCGGCCATCACATGATTGCTATTAGGCATTTCACAACTGGTGGACATATACAATAGTCACAGCCTCTTACAGTCATGTGATCACCATTTTTTGTATTTCACAACTGGCTTCTAATAAGCAGAATTAATGGAGAACATATAAGTGAAACTGCAAGTTGTGATCATGCGACATCTCAATGATGAAAGTGGAAGTGCAGTCATAATTTTGTTGTGCTTATGTGATGTTTTTTCTTAAGTGACTTGGACCCTTAGCAATGGAATTTGCCAGTTCTAATTTTCACTAATCGAGGATTCTCTGTACTTATTGCCTAATATTTCTGCTATAAAGGAAAAAAATCACATTTCCAACTTGTTGCCCTTCAAGTGGGATAGATCACAACTCCAATTAACAACTTTGATTGATTGTTTATATAACATCAAACTGGTGTTGAATCTTAGAAATCAGACACATTTTTTTTTCATGAAATTACCAATTTATCACTCACAAATCCCAGCATGATTCATCACTGATCGTTAGTGTAAAGCTGATAGTGATACGTTTGGACAACCATTGTTTCATGATTTCTGGTCTAACGCTAAGAAAATTATTAGAAAATATCCAGATACCGTTCAACAAAGATGAAGGAAAGCAAAATACCTCAAGGGGGTTAAGATGTTTCTTCTGAATTAAAGTTTGGCCTTGGATTTATCAATTCCCATTTTTCCACTCCTTTCAAATGGAAAATTAATGCACAAACAGGAAGAAGATCCATTATGGTTTGTGATTGACAAATCAGTCCTTAATTTAATAAATTGAACATTGAAGACATTATTTCTTTTCGTTATTCTAATTCTAAGATTCTGCCATTATTGAAAGCAAATTAACGTATGCTTCTTGCTGAAGTTTTCACCCCTTCACAAATGGAATTCATGTAGAGCACGTGTGATTATTGAATATATAATCAGTGTTCAGGTTGTAGCTCTCAATCTAATAACAGTGTTGGAAGATGCGCAGAAGGCAAAGTGGCTGCTTTTTGAACCTGACTAAAGTCAAAGCTTTCCTATAAACTTTGATAGCTTTGCTATAAGCCAGTGATGACAAACTCAAGGCCTGCGGGCCGGATCTGGCCTGTGGGGTGCTTAGATCTGGCCCGCGGGGCTGGTCTGGAACTACCAAAGGACCAGCCCATGGTGCCTCTGCTAGCAAAAATGGGGCATAGGTGGTGGGCATACCCCCTGCAACCACTTTTGGCCTCCAGAGTGCTCCAGGAGACCTCCCAGGCCCAAAACAGGGCCCCCGGAGTCTTCCATGAGGCCTTCCTTGACTCAGAAGGTTATTAAAGGGAGGGAAAGTAAAATATTTTATCTTTCAGGCTTGCAGGATTCTGCTACTATAGTCTATGTCAATAATTTATAGTTCTGATCTTCCTATGGAATCGGTGTTTTGATCTGGTCTTTCCCTCATAAGATGATCAAGTAGATGAAGTAAGTATTAAAAAACCAGAATCACAGAACTGTACGCCTCTGTATTTTTAGAAGTTTATTAAACCCTGTCTGCAGAGAAGTCCCGTGTCACACCCACTATGCCCATAAACCCCATGGCCAGCCCCAGCCCCCCCATCCAGCCCTCGGAGGTCAAACCCAACCCTGATGTGACCTTCAATGAAATTGAGTTTGATACCCCTGCCATAAGCAGACAACTAACAAAAACAAAATATTTTTTATATAGCTGCTGTTGCTTGACAACTCAACATAAGCTCAGTTGCGTGACCTGAAGCCAAAGTATCTTTGGACTTTACTTACATATATTTTGCCAAGTTACTAAAGATAAACATGCTCAACACATTGTTTTATATACTCGCATTGCAGTTCTACTAATAAAGCAAACCCTCAGATGGCTAACATGTGAAAAATAACACTTTTTGTGCTTCTTTGAATTAGAGAGAGAGAGAGAGAGATCGTGCATGAGCCAAATAAGGGGTTTCTGAGGTTTGATCAAGAGTAGACAGGGTGATATTAAGACTCCCTTATACGAAAGCAGGAAGTTTGAGTACCTAAGCTGAAAGTTTGGTAATGGGTTGATAGGTGAGAAAATGTCCAGAACTTATTAAATCAGTCTTTTCCAACCTGTTTAAAACTGCAACTGCTATGTACATTGATATTATGGGACAGTGGGAATTATATCAAAACATCTGACAAGATCCAGGTTGGAAAGAATTGTCCCTGATGGGATCACATACAGCATCTGATCAAAATTCTTGGGGACTTCTGGTTTGAGCTTCTTCAGTGACAGACCAAAATCCGCGATCGTGTGCAGTTTTGATCTGTGCTTGCCACAGGAGCGCCCCGAGCTGGCTGGATTCAGGGCAAAAGCCACCCCGTAGAGGTGGTAAAGAGGGGGGAGACTGCTAGCAGGGTCGAGGAGAGCCACATCTCTCCTCCTCAGCTGGCCATTACTCCCTTTCCCTAAGGCGGTTGCAGCAGTGGTCGGAAATGGCCACCTCAAAGAAGAACTCGACTGGAAAAGATTGTGCAGGAGGAAGATAAGAAGGTAAAGTTTTTATTGACCGGGTTGAACTGAAAAAAGTACCTTGGAATTTGAACTATAAAGAATAACTGTTCCCAAAGAAGACTTTTGAAGCGATGAAGGAGAGAGGGAAGGGCAAAGATTTGGGTTTTTTTTTTCTTCTTCTCCATATTGACAGCTAAGAGACTTAAGCAAGAAATTGATTAAAAATTCACTTTGACATTAGTAGGAATTTAAGCTGAAAATAAAATGTCAAAGTGATAATAAAATTTTTTGGATATTTAAATTTTTTAAAAAAGAAGGAAAGGAGAGAAAAGGAAAAAATAAAAGGGTGGGATCTGTAAAAATGAAGGAGACCACCTGGAAGTAAAAGGAATTAACAGTGAAACTTTAACAAGATTCCTAAAAGATATATTCTAACTGAAACTTTGTAACAAGATAAATAGAACCCCAGGAAGAGAAAGTGGAAAAAAGAAGCAAGAAGAAACAGCTTTGGATTATTTGGTGATTTTTGGATTTTTGGTTATTGGACTTAAATGATTAAAATCAATTGGGTGGTTGTTTAAAAGTGTTTAAAATGGCATCACTCTTGGAAGAATTGAAAATGGAACTTAAAAAAACAGAAAGAAGATGCACAAGAAGGAAGAGGCTTTTTTGGCTTCGTATTTCAATGGAGATCTTGAACTATGAGAAACAAGAAATGTGTCTAGAACAAGAAGGGCAGGACAAAGAAGAAGCAATTTTAAATGACCAAGTAATTCTATGTAGGGGGGAAAAAGGGAAAGGGGGGAAAGAGAGTGAAAAATTTAAGATTTGAAAAAACAACCAAAAAAAAGAAGAGTTTGAAAAGCAATTACAATCTTAGGAAGAAACAGAAGAGAGGATTACAGAAGAGAGAATTAGAATTAGAGAGACAAGGGGTCAAAAGTGGGAGGGGGAAGAAGAGTGGGAAGAAGGAAAGGAAAATAAGTTATAAAGGACAGAAACAGGATATAGAGAAACAGGGAAAACGTACAAGGATTAAAGATATAAGCCTATTTAGAAGACATAGAGACAATGGGTGAAAATTTAATTGAAAGAGAGGATTCTGCAAGGGTACATAAGATAGCATTGTTATATTAGAAATAGAAATTGTAATGGAATGGAATGTTTGTTAATAAATAAATGAAATAAAGAGAATGAGAGAATGAAATTAGGAAAGGATGGGAACATTTTAATTGTTATTAATGATTTATAAAAAATTAAGTGAAGAGAAATATGAAAGAAAT